CTGCTGTTCTTTGACACACGCAAAAATGGCTTCTACTCCAACAACATCTTGGAGGCTAAACACAACCCTAAAATCCTTTTTTCTACCACCCACTACCTCCTCCGTGCCCCCCCCTCAGGCCTCCTCAATCTTCACATCCAATGCCAAGTGCGAGGAGGTCATGGACTTCTTTTCATCTAAAATTCACAACATCCGCCAGGCAGCCTCATCCTCCTGCCTCTCGTCACCCACCACGTCTGTCACCCTCACTCTCCCTATCATCTGCTCGTACCACCGCCCCCATTCTACATTCCTTCCTCCCCATCTCTCCCTCCTTCCTCTCACCTACCATCATCTCCATGAAACCCACCACCTGCTGCATCGGCCCTCTCCCCACCAACTTGCTGGTCACCAACCAGTCCCTCTCCTCTGGATCATCCAGATTATTCAAAACTCTGCCGCCCATTCTCACCCGCACCAAACCCCGCTCCCCGATCACCCCAGTCCTCACCAGACTGCACTGGCTCCCTGTCCCAGAGAGGATTGACTGCAAGATCCTCACCCTTGTCTTCAAATCCTTCCACTCCTCCACACCCTCTACCTCTCTGACCTCCTCTTTCCTCACAGCAGTACCCATTGCGTTCATTCCTCCAGGTCTGGCCTCCTCCTCGTCCCCCGAGTCCTCCGCTCCACCCTCGGCGGCCGTGCCTTCAGCCACAATGCTCCGAGGCTCTGGAACTCCCTTCCTCACTCCCTTCCCCTCATCCCCTCTCTTCCTATTTTCAGGTCTCGGCCGAAGACCTTTCTTTTCGACCGTGGTTTTGATCACCTTCCCCCCCCTCCCCCTGGCTCCTCCCCCTTCCCCTGGGTCGGCCCCGGGATCCGTTACTGTGAAGCGCTCTGAGACGCCATCCGGCGTGGAGGGCGCTATATAAATCCAAGTTGTTGTTGTTGTAGTTGATTGGTGGATTGCTTTCGGGGAGTAATAATCTGTTCAAAAAAAATGTGGTCACTCAATCCACGAGTGTTTGTGGGACGCCGCTGTGTGCAATTGGCTGCCGTGTTTCGCCCACAAAATACACAGGCACTACACTTTACTGTATACTCTGTGAAGCGCTTTGAGAAGATGTGATAAAGGGCTGTACCAAATACAAGGATTATTATTATTATAGCTTACTGCTCGGTAAGAAGAGGTGTGTGGAGTAAGGAAACGTGTCTAAGTTTTCCCCCTGAGTTTGCTTGTGAGGTGAGTGCAGTAACCACCACTCTACGTGTCTTAAACCTGAAGTCGGAAACCAGTTTCTTTTTAAAAAATAAAGAAACTCCTGTGGGGAAAACGTCAGGTAATAACAGCAATCCAGACATTCGATCCAGCGCCTTTCGTGCTGGGAGGACGTTTTGAAGTGATCCACAGGGTTTACTGTAAAGTGTAGTGACTGTGTGTTTTGTGAGTGAATGCGGCAGCACAGTTTGCACACAGCAATGTCTGACAAACAGCCGTGAAGTGCTGCAGGATCTTTAATGCCCACCTGAACAGGCGCAGACGGGGAGTACAGTTTAATGTCTCATCTGAAGGATGGGGCTCAGATGCTGATAAGTCGAGTGAGATAACTTGCCTAAGGTTTCGTGCTGCATGGGAATTGAACCCGTGTCCTCCCACTTGTGAGGTGAGTGCTCTAACCACTACGCTACAGGACTCACAAGCTCCAGATTATTATCATATTATTACCTCGATCACATCTTGTCTCGAACTCCTCCACCTGGGATGACCTGCATCAGTGAGTAAGTCTTTCTATCAATATTCTATCCGCTATATCTATGGATTTTTTCAGTGAGTAAGTATTTCTAAGTAGAGTGAGTCAGTGAGCTTGTGGGCGTCTCTTGGCGATCGTGCACAAAATTCAGAGAAAGGGATTCATTCCACAATGTTAAGAATCCACAGGAAGCTTTACACTAGAACTTACTGTTATTTGCAAACAACATTCGTCACATTTTTATTCAATCAGTCAGATATGTGAAATGTGGGAAACAAATCAATTTCTCCAAACCAGATACAATTCCATGTATTCCCACCTACAGGAGGAAATTACCTTATGTCTGGAAAGAAATGTGCGCCCTCTCTCTCTCTCTCTCTCTCTTCCTGGAGGGACGCAGCCTGTTTATGGAAACTCTCTCCTCATTGGCCTCATTGGCGCAAGTTGGCGAGAACCAAGGGTTGGGGAGCCCAGAGTGTGTGTGTTGGGACAACTGCTGGAATCTAACCAGATAAAACCATAGCTTGTGATTGATAGTGCTGCGTGGCAAGCTTTCCCACTGCTTGTCCAGCTGGAACCACTATCCCCCATTCGTGGTTTGGCTGCAGAGTTAACAGGAGTGAATGAGAAATTTCCCTGCTTCCGCCAATACGTCAGGCTGTGTTGGGTTGCAATAATAATAATAATAATAATAATAATAATCCTTGCATTTGATATAGCGCTTTTCACGTCTTCTCGATGTCTCGAAGCGCTTCACAGAATGGACTGTAAAGTGAATTGACCGTATATTTGTGAGCGAAACACAGCCAATTGCGCACAGCAGTGTCCCACAAACAGTCGTGGATTGAAAATGACCAATTTATTACTGTTTTGCTTTGGAGGGATTATTATGAGATTATTATTATTATTATTATTATTATAAAGGTTTCCTTTGCAGGGATTTCTGATATTGATATTGATAAGTTCAGTGCACATCTCCACTAAGAAAACAATTGTAAAACTGGAACACACAAAAAATACTTTGAGAAGCCGGGATTGTTCTCCTGAGAGCAGAGAAGGTTACAGGGAGATTTAATACAGGTGTTCAGAATTATGAGAGAGTAGATTGGGAGTAACTGGCAGGTGGGTCGGTAACCAGGGGACATAGATCCAAGATAATTGGCAAAAAAACCAGAGGGGAGATGAGGAGAATTTTATTCACACAGAGAGTGTGACACCTGGGTTCAATTCAAATATTAATATAAACGCAATTTCAATTCCAATTGCAATTCCAGAGGGCGAAACCTTGGGCAAGTTTCCTTACTCCACACAGAGCCTAATAATAATCCCTCCAAAAAAACAAAAACAATAATAAATTGGTCATTTTCAACCCACGACTGTTTGTGGGACATTGCTGTGCGCAATTGGCTGCCGCGTTCGCCCACAAATATACAGTCAATTCACTTTACAGTGTGTTCTGTGAAGCGCTTTGGGACGTCCTCCCGACGTGAAAAGCGCTATATCAAATGCAAGGATTGTTATTATTAATGCCCTGGAGTCCCCCTCTGGCTCAGGAACTGGATTATCTTATCTATATATCTATAATCTACCTCACCATCAGAGGGCAGGTATTCCGCCATTCTGCAACCCCCTCACTTTCATAGAGCGTTTTCAAGACGTAGCTCTTTGTCATTGTATTCAGTCAAATTCCAACCCCACCCCACCCTCAGTTTCCCTCCCCACGGGGTTGTGTAATGTGTTTAAGTCATATGAACTGTCACGTGTATTTCATGCACTCTGGGACCTGAGGGTCGCGATATAAATCTAAGTTGTTGTGTACAAAGTCAACTCCCAATGATACTGACAGATACTATGGCGCACAGGGTCAGGGGCTAACCCAGACACTACCCCAAACAAACCCCAGCCCTGATCCCAACCCAACCCCAGCCTCGAACCCCACCTCAATCCTAACCCAAACCCCAGCCTCAACCCACAGCCCTGAACCCAACCTCAGCCCCCAACCCCAAACCAGCCCCAAATCCCCAGCCCAACCCTAGCCCAACCCCGACCCCATCCCCAACCTCAGCCCCAGCCCCAAACTAGCCCCAAATCCCCAGCCCAACCCCAGCCCAACCCCGACCCCATCCCCAACCTCAGCCCCAGCCCCAAACTAGCCCCAAATCCCCAGCCCAACCCTAGCCCAGCCCCAACCCCATCCCCAACCTCAGCCCCCAAACCAATCCCAACCTCAGCCCTGATCCCCAGCCCCATGACTACCCCCTCCCCACTAGAATCACACACACACACACACTCAGCCTTTACTGGGAGCTGAGCTGCACTGTCAGGAAATACAATGTTTAATAGGAAAATAAGAGGCTTTTTACACAAACAATTACCAGCAAAGGGGGGGGGGGGGGGGGTGGGGGGGGGGGATATGGGTGGGGGGGGATCTGATCAAGTCATTAAACAAGAGAATACACACAGCCCAGACCACCCCCACCCCACTGAGCAATACCAGGTGATCAACCAATGTCAACTCAGGGGGAGTTTGGGGGGTGGGGGGTGGGGGTGGATGCGCTGTTGGCGATGGGCTGTTCTGGAGAGGATGCTGTCACTATGGTACATGTGCCGTTGCTGGGGGTGGGGGGGGGGTTGCTAGGGTGGGTGTGGTTGCTGGGCGGGTTGCTAGGGCGGGTTGCTAGGGGAGTGTGCGGTTGCTAGGGGGAGGGTGGAAGGGGGACAGCACCACGGTTTCTCCGGCCTGAACACAGAGATTGTTCCGGAAAACCTTCGATCCTTCGGGATCGTAAAGCGACCGGACCACAAAGAGAGAGAGAGCGAGAGCGAGAGAGAGAGAGCGGGAGTGAGAGAGAGAGAGAGAGAGAGAGAGGGGTGGGGGGGGGGGGGGGGGGCGCAGTCGGAGGGTGGGGTTCATAATAATTTGGAAGTAAGTGATTGTGAAACTGTTTCCCCATTAATATGGGGTTTGGGATTACAAGTTCTCGACGGATTAACATGTGGATAAATGGCGCGCGTGTGTTTGTGGGGGTGTGGGGGGGGGGGGGAGGTGGGGGGGGGAGGTGGGGAGGTGGGAGGGTCTCAGGAAGTGTGGGGGGAGGCAAAGCATTTGGTCTGAGACGTCAATCGCTCTGAGCTTTGCTCTGGGAGTGGTTTGCACTGCTCAGGTGGGTTGTCAATGACCTGAGGCCTCAAGGTTTGGTCCAGGTGTATATTGGGGGGAGGGGGGGAGGGGGGAGGGGAGGAGGGGGGAGGGGGAGGAGAGAGGGGAGAGGGGGTGCTCCTCACTACTTGGCTCCACACGTGTTGATGTTCTTGCCGTCCGTGGCGTCCTCCACCAGGGAGACGTGGTGATCAGTGGACAGCGTGAGGTGGGAGATACAGCCGACCAGGCCCCTCATGTACCGCCTCTGGGTGTGAAGGGCAATCTCCTTCATCCCTCCTACACCAAACACAGAACTCAGGTCACCCCGCCCGGACTACAGACCCCCAACTCCAACCCCAACCCTCCCCTCTACCCCCAACGCCAACCCCAACCCTCACCTCTACCCCCAACCCCAGCCCACAACTCCAACCCCCAACTCCAACCCTCACCTCTACTCCCAACCCCAGCCCCCAACTCCAACCCCAACTCTAACCCCAACCCTCATCTCTACCCCCAAACCCAGCCCCCAACTCCAACCCCAACTCTAACCCCAACCCTCATCTCTACCCCCAACCCCAGCCCCAAACTTCAACCCCAGCCCTCCCCTCTACCCCCAACCCCAGCCACCAACCTCCAACCCTCACCTCTACCCCCAACCCCAGCCCAGAGATCGTACCTCCCCCCGACACAGAGACACCCAGACAGATACACACACACACAGACATTCAGTCACACACAGACACATACTCAGACGCGCATACACACACTCAGACACACACACACACTCAGACACACACACAGACACACACACACACTCAGACACACACACACACTCAGATATTCACTCACACACAGACACATACTCAGACGCACACACACACACACATAGACACACACAGTGTGGGGTTTGACACCAGTCTCTGACCCGGTCACTTACCCACATAAACGGCCCCGTTAATGTTCAGCTGACGCATCAGCCCCGGTGACCGCCCCGTCTTCGCTCCGTAATCATCGACCGTCAGCTTTCCCGACTGTCCGTCCCTGCAAACCAGGAACAGCAGCGTCAGGCGAACACCAGCGTCAGGCAAACCCCAGCCACAGGCAAACCCCAGCCACAGGCAAACCCCAGCCACAGGCAAACCCCAGCGTCAGGCAAACCCCAGCCACAGGTAAACACCAGCCACAGGCAAACCCCAGCCACAGGCAAACCCCAGCCACAGGCAAACACCAGCGTCAGGCAAACACCAGCGTCAGGCAAACACCAGCGTCAGGCAAACACCAGCGTCAGGCAAACACCAGCGTCAGGCAAACACCAGCGTCAGGCAAACACCAGCCACAGGCAAACACCAGCGTCAGGCAAACACCAGCCACAGGCAAACCCCAGTGTCAGACAAACCCCAGCCACAAGCAAACACCAGCCACAGGCAAACTCCAGCCACAGGCAAACACCAGCCACAGGCAAACACCAGTGTCAGGCAAACCCCAGCCACAGGCAAACCCCAGCCACAGGCAAACCCAGCCACAGGCAAACCCCAGCGTCAGGCAAACCCCAGCCACAGGTAAACACCAGCCACAGGCAAACCCCAGCCACAGGCAAACACCAGCCACAGGCAAACCCCAGCCACAGGCAAACACCAGCCACAGGCAAACACCAGCCACAGGCAAACCCCAGCCACAGGCAAACACCAGCGTCAGGCAAACACCAGCGTCAGGCAAACACCAGCGTCAGGCAAACACCAGCGTCAGGCAAACACCAGCGTCAGGCAAACACCAGCGTCAGGCAAACACCAGCCACAGGCAAACACCAGCGTCAGGCAAACACCAGCCACAGGCAAACCCCAGTGTCAGACAAACCCCAGCCACAAGCAAACACCAGCCACAGGCAAACTCCAGCCACAGGCAAACACCAGCCACAGGCAAACACCAGTGTCAGGCAAACACCAGCCACAAGCAAACACCAGTGTCAGGCAAACACCAGCCACAAGCAAACCCCAGCCACAGGCAAACATCAGCGTCAGGCAAACACCAGCGTCAGGCAAACACCAGCCACAGGCAAACACCAGCGTCAGGCAAACTACAGCCACAGGCAAACACCAGCGTCAGGCAAACTACAGCCACAGGCAAACACCAGCCACAGGCAAACACCAGCCACAGGCAAACCCCAGCCACAGGCAAACCCCAGTGTCAGACAAACCCCAGCGTCAGGCAAATCCCAGCATCAGGCAAACACCAGCCACAGGCAAACACCAGCCACAGGCAAACACCAGCGTCAGGCAAACCCCAGCCACAGGCAAACCCCAGCCACAGGCAAACCCCAGCCACAGGTCAGAGAGTACAGTATCACAACAACAAGGTAATGTACACTTATACAGTTATACAGTGTCTGTGACAATCTTTAACGTCCACCTAAACGGGGCACAGACGGGAGCTCATTTAACGTCTCACTCGAAGGACAGCGTCTCTGACAAAGCGCCTCTCTCGCTCTCTCTCTCTCCCCCCACAGTGCGGCGCTGGAGCATCAGCCTGGACTGTGAGCTCAGAGACCCCGACATGGGGCTCAAACCCACATCATCCTGAGTCGGAGGTGGGAGTGGGAGAGACTGAGCCAGGACGGGCTGCAAGTCATTTTTTTCTAGTCAGCCGAGTGTCTGACACACGTGGAAACCCATCACCGTTGCTTAAGAGTCTCCGAACTCAACAGAGAATTCCCCGTATCCCATCTGCACATGGAAATTCCAGCGATAGATCTCTCTCTCTCTCTCTCCGTGGAGGGAGGCATCGTGTTTACCTAATTCCGGAGAGTATTAGGCACAGGTTGACGAGAGCCAAGGCCTGGGGGGGACCCCAGAGAGTGCGTTGGGGTAACTGTTGGGAGTCTAACCAACTAAACCCACACCGCTCGGCCATTGGGATCACTGTCTGACCAGCTTTCCCGCTGCTTGTCCAGCGAGGACCACCCTCCCCGTTAGTTAGGGCTTTGGCTGCGGGGGTAACGGGAGCTGAGGGGGAGGATTCCCGGCCCCCGGTGTCTCCAGTGGAAACTAAACACTCACCGAACAGCCTTCACACGATGCCATCGGCCGTCATGGAAGGAACCGTTCACCATCACGGCCATAGCCCCACTGCCCAGGTTATAGCTGGAGAGAGGGAGACACACAGACGTATTTAGAGAGAGAGAGAGAGTGAGTGCGTGTGAGACAGAGAGAAAGAGAGAGAATGAGAGACAGTGAGAGAAACACACAGACACAGTGAAAGAGAGAGCGAGACAGAGAGAGTGAGTGTGGGGGGTGGACAGAAAGAGAGAGAGAGAGAGTGAAGGACAGACAGACGTATATGGAGAGAGGGAGGGGGGGCTCAGAGAGAGGTTATACAGACCTGGAGGCCATTCGGCCCATCAGCCTACCCCAACCCCCACACACATACACATTAAGTGTTATTCTCTCTCTGGCTGTTACTCTCTCTCTCTCTCTGGCTGTTACTCTCTCTCTGGCTGTTACTCTCTCTCTCTGTGGCTGTTACTCTCTCTCTCTGTGGCTGTTACTCTCTCTGTGGCTGTTACTCTCTCTCTGGCTGTTACTCTCTCTCTCTGGCGGTTACTCTCTCTCTCTGGCTGTTACTCTCTCTCTCTGGCTGTTACTCTCTCTCTCTGGCTGTTACTCTCTCTCTGGCGGTTACTCTCTCTCTCTGGCTGTTACTCTCTTCTCTGGCTGTTACTCTCTCTCTCTCTGGCTGTTACTCTCTCTCTCGCTGTTACTCTCTCTCTGGCTGTTACTCTCTCTCTCTCTCTCTGGCTGTTACTCTCTCTCTTTCTCTCTGACTGTTACTGACCTGAAGACCAAGGCTCCGTCCTGGAGGCCCAGGGAGATGAAGTCACTGTTGACCCTCATGGAATGGTCTCCCCGCCATAGCAATAGGCCGTCCTTAGCAACCGTCCGGAACCGCATGAAGATGTTGGACCGAGAGCCGGAGACCCTGCCAACCAGAGCGAGTAATCAACCCCGGGCCGTCGACCCCGAGCCGTCGGCCCCGAGCCATCGGGCCCGAGCCATCGACCCCGAGCCATCGGCCTCGAGCCGTCAACCCCGAGCCGTCGGCCCCGAGCCGTCGGCCCCGAGCCGTCGGCCCCGAGCCATCAACCCCGAGCCATCGGCCCCGAGCCATCAACCCCGAGCCGTCGGCCCCGAGCCGTCAACCCCGAGCCGTCGGCCCCGAGCCGTCAACCCCGAGCCATTGTAAATAATGATTCATTATGTGCGATCATGACTGTAAGCGTTGATTCATGTGGTGATGGGTAATGAACTCCCTGTCGTTTAATAAGGAGAATAGGCAATTGAATGACCAATAAAACCCCTGAAGTCAGCAGTAAAAGGAACCTAGCGGTCAGCAGGCCGGTACACGCCCGTCACGGTCTCGGAGCCCTTACCGTTTAATGACCTCTGGCTGATCGTAGGTCAGGTAACTGCGTCCGATGAACTGTGGGATTTCAATGGTTTCTGTGATCGCTGGAAACACAGACACAACGTGAGTCAGTCTCCACACCTGTTTGAAGACCACACCTGAGCCCGCAGGGGGGGCAGCACTGTACAGGGCATTATTGAGGCCAACTTCCCCGCTGCTTGTCCGGTTAGGACCACCCTCGCTGTTCGGGCTTTGGCTGTGGGGCTAACAGGAGCTGAGGGGGAGGATTCCCGGCCCCCAGTGACTGGTCGGCCCTTCCAGGTCCGGCCGCTGAGCCGGACCGGGCTCAACAGAGAACCCTGGACACTGGCCCAGAGCGCGAGAGACTGAGATCAACAGCCTGACACTGGGAAAGGCGTCGCATACACCGCTATAATACACAGACTGAGAGAGAGAGGGGCGCGGGGAGGGGGAGAGGGGGGAGAGGGAGAGGGGGGGTCGGGGAGAGGGGGAGAGAGAGCTGGGGAGGGCGAGGGGGGGGGGAGAGAGAGAGAATCGGAGAGAGGTGGCAGAAAGTGGGGAGAGAGCGTGGAGAGAGGGGGAGAGATATAGAGGGGGGGGAGAGAGTGAGAGAGTGGGGGAGAGAGAGAGAAGGGGAGAGAGAGGAGGGAGAGAGGTGGGCGGAGAGAGTGCGGGAGAGAGGGGGGAGAGAGAAGGGGCGAGAGAGCTGGGGGAGAGGGAGAGAGATGGGGGAGAGAGAGGAGAGGGAGAGAGATGGGGGAGAGAGATGCAGGAGAGGGGGGAGAGAGAGAGAGATGGGGGAGAGAGAGGGGGAGAGGGGGGGAGAGAGAGAGAGATGGGGGAGAGAGAGGGGGAGACGGTGGGGCAGTTACTCACTGTTCAGACAGTAATTCCCACATTCTTCAGGGCAGCGCAAAGAGAAAGGAAAACACAGAGATGTTCACTGTGAGCCTCGCACCCCCACTCCCCCCCGCCCTCGGCACACAGACACCCCCACACCCCACACCCCCTCCCCAGAGAGGATGTGAATGAGCAGTCAGGACACCAGGAGAGAGAGAGAGAGAGAGAGAGAGAGAGAGAGTGAAACTCCCAACTCTTTTCCCGACAGAGTTTTATTATTTTTAATGTCCACCTGAACAGGGACAGATGTGGTGGTTTAATGTCTCACCCGAAGGACGGTGTCTCTGACAAAGTGTCTCTCTCTCTCTCTCTCTCTCCCCCCCACAGCGCTGCTCTCTCTCTCTCGCTCTCTCTCCCCCCAGCGCTGCTCTCTCTCTCTCTCTCTCTCTCCCCCCAGCGCTGCTCTCTCTCCCCCCAGCGCTGCTCTCTCTCTCGCTCTCTCCCCCCAGCGCTGCTCTCTCTCTCTCTCTCTCTCTCCCCCCCCCAGCGCTGCTCTCTCTCTCTCTCTCACTCTCGCTCTCTCCCCCCAGCTCTGCTTTCTCTCCCCCCAGCGCTGCTCTCTCTCCCCCCAGCGCTGCTCTCTCTCTCGCTCTCTCCCCCCAGCGCTGCTCTCTCTCTCGCTCTCTCCCCCCAGCGCTGCTTTCTCTCCCCCCAGCGCTGCTCTCTCTCCCCCAGCGCTGCTCTCTCTCCCCCAGCGCTGCTCTCTCTCCCCCCAGCGCTGCTCTCTCTCTCGCTCTCTCCCCCCAGCGCTGCTCACTCTCTCTCTCTCCGCCCAACGCTGCTCTCTCTCCCCCCAGCGCTGCTCTCTCTCCCCCAGCGCTGCTCTCTCTCCCCCCAGCGCTGCTCTCTCTCTCGCTCTCTCCCCCCAGCGCTGCTCTCTCTCTCGCTCTCCCCCAGCGCTGCTCTCTCTCTCGCTCTCTCCCCCCAGCGCTGCTCTCTCTCTCACGCTCTCCCCCCAGCGCTGCTCTCTCTCCCCCCAGCGCTGCTCTCTCTCCCCCCAGCGCTGCTCTCTCTCCCCCCAGCGCTGCTCTCTCTCTCACTCTTTCCCCCCAGCGCTGCTCTCTCTCTCACTCTCTCCCCCCAGCGCTGCTCTCTCTCCCCCCAGCGCTGCTCTCTCTCCCCCAGCGCTGCTCTTCTCTGCGCTCTCCCCCAGCGCTGCTCTCTCTCCCCCAGCGCTGCTCTCTCTCTCTCGCTCTCTCCCCCCAGCGCTGCTCTCTCTCCCCCCAGCGCTGCTCTCTCTCTCGCGCTCTCCCCCCAGCGCTGCTCTCTCTCTCGCTCTCTCCCCCCCAGCGCTGCTCTCTCTCTCGCTCTCTCCCCCCAGCGCTGCTCTCTCTCTCGCTCTCTCCCCCCAGCGCTGCTCTCTCTCCCCCCAGCGCTGCTCTCTCTCCCCCCAGCGCTGCTCTCTCTCCCCCCAGCGCTGCTCTCTCCCCCCAGCGCTGCTCTCTCTCCCCCCAGCGCTGGGCTGGATTGTGAGCTCAGAGACTCTGACACATCACATCCCTCCATTCGTTCTACACACACTCTCTGTATCTCTCTCTCACACTCCTGTCTCTCTCCCTCTATATATCTCACTCACACACTCTCACTCTCTCTCTCTCTCATACTCCCCTTCTCTCCTCCCTCTCTCATACTCACTCTCTCTTCCTCTCTCTTTCGTTCTCTCCCCCTTCTCTTTCATTCACACTCTCACCCTTCTCCCGCTCTCTCCCCCACCCCCCACCCCGTCTCACACTCACTCGCTCTCCCCTTCATTCTCTCCCCCACCCTCTCTCTCTCACTCACGCTCTCTCTCCCCAAGTCTCTCTCTCTTTCACACTCACTCTCTCTCTCTCTCTCTCTCGCACTCACACACTCTCACCCTCCCCCCACCTCTCTCTCTCTCTCTCTCGCTCATACTCTCCCCCACCCTCTCTCGCTCTCTCTCTCTCTCTCACCCTCTCCCCACTCTCTCGCTCACACACCCTCTCCCCAAGTCTCTCTCTCTCTCACCTTTCTGGCAGCGATCGCCATCGAAGCCGAGAGGACAGTCACACTGGAAGGTGTCGCACATTGGGCGACAGGAGCCGCCGTTGTGACAGGGATTAGAGACACAGGCGTGAGGAGCGTTGACAACATTCACGCCCAACACAAAATCCTGCTGCAGCCGCGATGGCCGGTCATTCAGCTCTATCTACAGAGAGAGGGAGAGAGGGAGAGGGACACACCCCCCACACACAGCACCCCCTCACTGCCCCCACACCCCCCCACACACTCCCCCCTCACTGCCCCCACACCCCCCCACACACAGCACCCCTCACTGCCCCCCCACACAGCACCCCTCACTGCCCCCCACAGCCCCCCCACACACAGCACCTCCTCACTGCCCACCCCCCCAAACACTGCCCCCCCTCACTGCCCCCCCCACACAGCACCCCCTCACTGACCCCCACCCCCCCCACACACAGCACCCCTCACTGTCCCCCCACACCCCCCCCACACACACAGCACCCCCTCACTGCCCCCCCACACACACAGCACCCCCTCACTGCCCCCCCACACACAGCACCCCTCACTGTCCCCCCACACCCCCACCACACACACAGCACCCCCTCACTGCCCCCCCACACACACAGCACCCCTCACTGCCCCCCCCACACACAGCACCCCCTCACTGCCCCCACACCCCCCCCACACCAGCACCTCACTGCCCCCCCACACAGCACCCCCTCACTGCCCCCCACACCCCCCCACACACAGCACCCCCTCACTGCCCACCCCCCCACACACAGCACCCCTCACTGCCCACCCCCCCGCCCCACCCCCGCCCCAACCCCCACCCCACCCCAACCCCCACCCCCGCCCCACCCCCAGCAGCCAACTCACCTCCGCCAGCCCCTCCACTGGCCGCTGCTCGTCCACCTGCAGGATACCGTTCCTCGCCGTGCGAGAGACCCTCACCTCGTGCCACTGGTTCAGAGAGATCCGCTCCTCACTCCTGTGAGGGGTGGGGGGGGGGAGAGAGGGGTGGTGGGGGGGGAGAGAGAGGAGGGTCAGAGAGAGGCGGGAGTTGGCGGGGGGCGGGAGGTGGGGCGAGAGGGAGATGGTGAGAGAGACAGAGAGAGATGGGAGTGAGTGAGGGGGGGGGTGGTGGGGGAGATACGGGGGGGTGGTGGAGAGAGAAAGTGGGGGGAGAGAGAGAGAGGTTCATCACCATACTCCGTAACCCCATCACACCAGTCTTCGCCAGTCTCCACCACCCACTGGCCCCGACCTCCTGCACGTCCCTTGTGCCCTCCGCGTCGCCCCCTTCCTTCCCCTTCCTCTTCGATCGCGCCTACGGTCACCTCCCCCTCCCCCCCGGCTCTGCCGGACCCTGCCCTGCGCGAGGGGACACTGTGCGGTGGTCCAACCGCTAAGATCCAGGGATCCACTACATTCCATCAACGGAGGAATCCTGAAGCCCTGGCACCGGGTCCTCTCCTGGCGGGGAAGGTTCGGGAACGCCGGGGCGCTCCGGCTGACCTGATGACGGCTGTGCCGGAGCCACAGTCGAAGCGGAATTCCAGGAAGCCCCGGAGAAGGCGGAGGAGAGGAAGTCCTTGCTCTGGGTGTCGTAGCTGTAGAGGATCAGGCCGTCAGCCCGGGCCGGCCGGAGGGCGATCAGGAACTCGGTGAAGGACAGGTAGTGACGGGCGTCCATTGGCCAGTGCAGGGCCGCGAAGGACAGCAGAGTGCCGTTAAACTCCGGCAACACCAACCGGAAACCTGCCCCGGCAAACACACAAACAACAACAACAACAACGTCACAACCTGCCTGTGCACAGCGGCCCCCTCACCCAGGGCAGTGTCCCACAGCGCTTGGCACTGCGGAGCCTGACGCCAGGCCGGGGGGGAGGTGACTGTAGACAACGGTCGAAGAGGAAGGTCCTCAGGCGCCATCTGAAGGTGGGGAAGGAAGGGGCAAAGCGGAGGGATAGAGGGGGAGTGTTCCAGAGTTTCGGGCTTTGTAGCTGAAAGCGGAGTGCAACGGAGGGCACGAACAAATTACACTGGTATAATAATAATAATAATAATCATTGCATTTGATATAGCGCCCTATCACGTCTTCGAGACGTCTCAAAGCGCTTCACAGGATATACTGTAAAGTGAATCGACTGTATATTTGTGGGCGGAACATGGCAGCCAATTGCGCACAGCAGCGTCCCAGGAGAGATCCGCTCCTCCTTCCTGACCGTGCCTTTGGTCATCTTTTCCCCCTCAGTTACCCCCTCGGTTACCACCTCCCGAGCTCAGGTGTCCATCCGCGGACTATCAGGCCTTGGACGCCCTCCCAACTTGGAAGGAGCTGTGTGTTGCATTGGCTCCAAGAGAGATGCAATGAGTGTGATGGCCTCCAGGGGGCGGAGTACCACCCTCTCGGACCGTGGCTCACTGCAGACGGGGAAACGGCGCCACCTGCTGCTGGGATTCAATATAATAATAATAATAATAATAATCCTGGCATTCAGCACAGCACCTCATCACGTCGTCGCGACGTCGCAAAGCTCTTCACAGAATATACTGTAAAGTGTAGTGACTGGATGTTTTGTGGGCGAAAGGCGGCGGCCAATTGCGCACAGCAATGTCATTTCGATCTCAGAGAGATCGAAAACGCAGTCAAAGGGGAGGGTCTTGAGGTGGGTCTTGAAGGTGGCGAGGGAGGGGGTGAGACGGAGGGACTGCGGGGTGGAGTTCCAGAGGGTGGGGGCAGAGTGGCAGAAGGCCCGCCCGTCCGATAGTGGGCCGAGCGAGGCGGAGAATGTGAAGCAGGCCGGAGCCCGCTGAGCGGAGGAAGTGAACAGGATGGTTGGGGGTTAGGAGGTCGAGAGGTAGGGGGAGCAAGACCATGGGGGCTTTGAAGGTGAGGATTAGGATCTTGAACTGTATCCTCTGTGTGATGGGAAGCCAGAGGAGTTGAGGATGGGGGTGATGGGTCACCGAGCCTGGTTTGGGTGAGGATGGGGGTGATGGGGTCGGGGAGCCTGGTGGGGGTGAGGATGGGTGTGATGGGGTCGGGGAGCCTGGTGGGGGTGAGGATGGGGGTGATGGGGTCGGGGAGCCTGGTGGGGGTGATGATGGGGGTGATGGGGTTCTGGGAGCCTGGTGGGGGTGAGGATGGGTGTGATGGGGTCGGGGAGCCTGGTGGGGGTGAGGATGGGGGTGATGGGGTGGGGGAGAGGACACGGGCTGCAGAGTTAGTTCGGGATGATCTGCAGTCTGTGGAGGGAGGAGTTGGGGGCCGACAAGGAGGGAGTTTGCATAGTGGAGTCTGGCTGTAATGAAGGTTGTGTGAGGGTCTCGGGGTGGGAGACAGTGGGGGAGTCGGGCCATGTTGCGGGGGTGGGGAAGGCAGAGCGGGTCATGGCGCAGATGTGGGTAGAAAGGATAGTTGAGGGTCAAACCAGACCCCAAGGTTCGGGACTGGCGCAGTGAGGGGGAGTGAGCCCCAGGGATGGTGATGCTGTCAGGGCCTGAGGTGAGGAGGCGCTGACGGGAGACAATCAGGAGAACTATTGTCAAGTGGAAGTTGACCCCGTGTCTGTGGAAGATGTCACCGAGAGGGAGCGTATATTGAAGAGGAGGGGACCGAGGACAGAGCCCTGAGGAACACTGCACCAGACGGTGCGGGGGTTTGGAGGAGAAACCGTTTGAGGAGATGAAGTACAGGAGGTGTGAGAGGTACGATCTGAACCAGTCAAGGACAGCGCCGCGGAGGTTGAGGTGAGAGGAGAGGCGGTGGATGAGGATAGAGTGGTCGACGGTGTCGAAAGCAGCAGAGAGGTCAAGGAGGACGAGGAGGCAGAGGGAGCGCTGGTCACAGATGGACACAAACAGTCATGGATTGAGGACACAGACGGGGAGCGAGATTTAACGCCTCATCTGAAGGACGAGTCTCTCTCTCTCTCTCTCTCTCCCCAGCGCTGCGATGGAGCATCTGCCTCGGACTGTGAGCTCAGAGCCCCTGACGTGGGGCTCGAAGCCACAACCTCCTGACTCGGAAGCGAGAGCGAGGGATGACTCCACACAGTAATAAAGGAGAAAGTCTGGGCTGGTCGTACCTTCCTCGCAGTGTTTGCCGCGGAATCCCAGGGGACACAGGCACAGGTAGGAGTCTGCACGGTTAGCAACACACACTCCACCATTCGAACAGGAAACCTGATGACACAACCCAGTGCTGCATTCACCTGGAGAGAGAGAGAGAGAGAGAGTGACAGAGAGAGGCAGAATGTGAGAGTGAGAGAGACAGAATGTGAGTGTGTGAGAGAGCGAGAGAGAGTGTGAGAGTGTGTGCGAGAGAGAGAGAGAGACAGACTGTGAGAGGGTGTGAGACACAGACAGAGTGTGAGAGAGAGAGAGAGACAGACGGAGTGTGAGGGAGAGAGACTGAGACACAGAATGAAAGGTGAGTGAGAGAAACAGAGAGAGGGAGAGACAGTGAGAGAGACAGAGAGAGAAAGACACCGAGTGAGAGATAGAAACCGAGTGAGCGAGAGAGACAAAATGAGAACGAGAGACGGACAGAGAGCGAGAGACGCGCCGCACAGCGTGTGAAAACGGGAAGGGGGTGAGAGCGAAACGGAGAGTGAGAAAGAGAGAGAGAGAGAGAGAGAGACGAGAAGAGCGAGAGAAATAGTGGGTGAGGCGGAGTGAGAAAAGACCAGGGGAAAAGAGTGAGAAACAGAGCGAGTGAGGGAGAGCGAGAGAAACAGCGCAAACCAGAGCGAGTAGAGACCGGCAGAGAGAGGGCAGACAGAGAGATACAGAGGGACGGAGAGGCAGAGGGACAGAGAAATACGTAGAGGTCCATAGTAGGAGCCGTACACCAATCAATTAAATTACTGACCTGATGCGAACAGCAATAGATCGCAAGATGGGGTCAGATGAAGACCCTTCGAACCCCCCCGACCCCCCCCCCCCCACCACCCCATCACAGCATAATCCAGTCCCAGTGTCCTGGCCTCAATTTACCCCCTTCCCTCTAACCCCGTTCCACTCGTTATATAATAATGATCCTCGCGGTTCATACAGCGCCTTATCATGTCCATGAGACGTCTCACGGCGCTTCGTAGGATACACGTAAAGTGTAGTGACTGTGTATGTTGCGGGCGAAACGCAGCAACCAATTGCGCACACAGCAGCGTCCCGCAAACATGTTTATTTTGAAGGGATTATTACACCCCCGAAAAGTGATCCGTCGATCGACTAACAACCGGGTTCCTACTGACTGCTGATAAACAGAGGCGCGTGGAGTGAGGAAACTTGGCCAACGTCTCGCCCCCCGGCCCGGGAATCGAACCCGGGTCCTCTCGCTTGCGAGGCGAGGGCTCTAACCCCTGAGCTACCGGTCTGCACGGTTATCCTCTGGGTAAACTAAACCCGCCTGGTGTCGGTGACAACATAAACCGTGTCAGAGACTGACATATAATAATAATAATAATAATAATCCTTGCATTTGTTGCTGTTGTTGTTATCACGTTGTCGCGACGTCTCTAAGTGCTTTGACTTACCCACGTCAGCCCCGCTCAGGCCTCTGCCCACAGGCCAGGGCCTCATGTCCACCCGATGCCCGTTAATCACCAGGGCCTGAGCACAGCCCTGAAGCCCACGGTTGGTACCAACGCCCGCACCAGCCAGTAAACGCTGGGAGCCCCCCCAGGTACAGGGGGGAGCGCAAGGTGATCTTAGTGTAGTGTCCCTGTAACACAACACGGGCCCTGTCACACACACACACACCTAAACACAGGCCCTGTCTCACACACACACCTAAACACAGGCCCTGTCACACACACACACCTAAACACAGGCCCTGTCTCACACACACACACAGATCTAAACACAGGCCCTGTCACACACACACACCTAAACACAGGCCCTGTCTCACACACCACCTAAACACAGGCCCTGTCTCACACACACACCTAAACACAGGCCCTGTCTCACACACACACACAGATC